TCTCTGCCAAAATTTGAGCAGAAAAAACATTAAAAAAAAATAAAATTATCTGCAACGTTAGTTGTTCTCTTCTTGAAGGGTACGCGTGATTACTGGCACCCTCAACTCTGATTGATCCGCTGCTAAGTAACCAGCAGTCCTCAAGAATGGCTCCGAGAGAAAAAGCTGGTACCCCCCTTGAGTGATTAGGTAGATGCCGCTCGATCAAGGAATCCGATTCATAAGTTCAAACTGCTAGTGTCGAAGGGATTTAACCTACCAATTGTTGGGGTCATGTTTTTGATTCTCTGTATGTATAACTCCGTGAGAATTAGATAGGGTTAGAGATCTCTCATGATTAGGAGACGGGGTCTCGTCATGATTAGGAGTTTGGATTCTATCCTAATTTGGAAGGTAAGCTAGAAGAGAGTAGAGAGACCAAGCAGGTGAGAGAGAGCCAATATTCTTGTAAACTAGGGCTATCTGAATGCGTAGCCTGATTCAAGAATATTGTGCGAGAGGCGAGGGTTTCGTAGTCTTTATCTGTGCAAAAGATTACGTTATTGGGAGAGGGTTTCGCAGTCTTTGTCCGTTCAAAAGATTGTAAAGAGTGGATTTTGGAGAGAATATGAGAGTTGATTATGTATGTGAGGTTGAGAGATTGAGAGACGAGAGTTAAATGGTTCCTCTTGTGGTTCTCCCTGATTCACGGTGGGCTTCTCGTATTGTTGTCACGTGGACGTATGTCAAAGTTAGTCGACCGAACCACGTAAATCTCGGTGTTCTTTCTTATTGATTGTTGTTATTTTATATCTTGTTGATTGTGAGTTGGCTTCCGAGTTGCGGAGACCGTAGTACGCGGGAGGACTAAAAATTCTTCAACAAATGGTATCATAGCAATGATGATGGATCAGGGAGCGAGTTCGCAAGATAGACGTCGTAAAAAAGTGAAGATCAACAACGTTACAAGAATTAGCAGTAGAGTTATCAGCATATAATTGTTCAAAGGCATCGCAGGAGCAGCTGGCTAGTGTGTAGACTCGAGAAAGATAGTACCATATTAGGTGGAGCTTGCAAGCGGGCACGACCGAGTGACACACATGGAGATGGAGATTGTGACATTGGACTTGAAGACGATGAGCGCTCATATTCGGTCTAAGCCAAGTGATGGAGGAAATAGAGGCATCTGGCTCGTAGTGTGGAGTAGAAGATGTGCACTCATATGATTCGAGACGAGCGATGCAGGTAGAGTAAGAGGACAAACCCAAGCACATTAATAAGATTCGAATTTCAAATAATTCTTAAGGTTGAACAATATTCGATTAATTCAATATTACTCAACTAAAGATGGTGTTAAGCCTTGTTAAGATTGAAAATAAATAATTATTTTGATCTCAAGAATCTTTTACTTATCCAATTACAAAATTCAATGGATAATTTGTAATTTTTAAAAATATAATCTCATGTGGACTTCCAAGCTTTGTGGGCTCCAAGATCGTGATCCACATTGTATACGGGGGTGTTTGTTTCAAAAAAATTTGACATTTGAGTGGGATTTCAATTTTTAGGATCAAAAAGTGAGGTTTTTGGGGTTTTAGAAATCCATAAACTTTGTTTGTTTCAAACCAAATTGTAGAATATTGAATCCCCAAATTATAAAATACTAATATTTTTTAGCATTTGCAAAATCCCACTTTTTATAGGGGATGTGGGCTGGATTTCTGACAAAACCGATCCAACTCAGCAAACCCCTCTCGTGACCGATACCACACCCAACCTATAATCACCGCTCTCCCATTTTCGTCTCCCTCCTCTTTTACCCGCCGTCTCATTATCCGTGCGAAAACCCTAGAATCGTTCCCTCCTCTCCGCGTCAACGACCCCACCCCCTCCCTCCTCTCCACCCTCAACCTCAGCGGGCTCCGCCTCCTCCTCAGCGTCCCCAACTCCCAGATCTACCGCCTTGCCTCTCCTCAACTCTCCCTAACGTTTTGGGGGTAAATTGATTTGGGGATTCTATTGTTTCAACCGAACTTCTCTCTGCCCGAACAGTTCTCTGACCAACTAAGCCTCCTCCGCGGCAGGTAAAACTCGTTCCCTTTCTTCATAAATTAGGGTTTATTTGTAAATTTGATGAATTTGGTGAAAATATTTGGGAGTTTTTGTGAAATTAATTAGTTCTATTGCTTGGATTATTAGACTGTGAAATTTGTGACAGATTTGGGGTTATATATGAAATTAATTAGTTCTATTGCTTGGAGTTTTTTTTTCTCCTTTATTTCTCCTTTCCCTTATGACTTTTTTTTCTTTTTTCTGCATTCATCATTTACATGAGGCATATTTAATTTTTTTATGTACTCGTATTTGAGGAATCCTATCACTTCAATGATAGACAGAGAAGATGTATGTGTATCTTGAAAAATAATTAAATACTATTGGTAGCCAAATCAAATTAGAAAACTGTCTTTTTTTTTTTTGAGAAAAGTAAACTTAATCATTCATCGAATCAGTTGAGAGTACATCATAAAGAAAAAGGGGTGGATAATACGACCAAACAACATGATTTTGTAAAGTTCTAGCGGTCTGTGCTAGAATGTGAGCTGCTTTATTTGCCGTTCTTCTAGTCCAAAGGAATCTGATGTTTGGAATGTTCCGCGCAAGAGAACGACAATCTTCGATGAGTAACCCAAAGTAGGAAAAATCTGGTTCATCTCTATGAAGTGCATTGTATACCGTAATTGCATCCATTTCAATTTCATGAACTTGAGGAAAATTAGATTTCAGCCATGAGAGGGCCTCGCGTACCCCCAACGCCTCAGCTAATGCTGGGTCAATGATGCCATGAACCTGAGTAGCTCTCGCTGCCACAAATGAACCCTGGTCATCTCGAATAATGAACCCTAATCCACATTTCCTCTGATTTGTGAACACTGCTGCATCCACATTTAATTTGAACTTGCCCGCAGCCGGAGGACTCCATTTAGAATTATTAGCAGTCTTTGTTTCACTTGTAGCTAGAGGAGGAACTACATTCTCTTTACGCCATTGCTCTAGAAGGTTGCAAGCTATCCACAAAGCCTTGGAAACTGTGAAAGATAGAGCCTGCCAAACAATCTCATTACGGTTATTCCAAATTGCCCAACAAGTCATTGCAATGAGAGCCAGGTTCTGCTGCTGATTTTGAAGCATAGCATTGAACCAATCCTTGAAATTAGGAGCCGTAGGAAGAGGAAGGGAAATGCCAATTTCTTCCCAAGCTTTTTGCGCAAACTCACAATGAACAAGAGAATAATAAAACTGTCTTAAATAATATATTTGTTGGCCTATCATAAGAAAAGCACATGGTCAACTAGTAAGATCACCTTCATTTAGACGCATTTGGAGTAGGGTTTGATGCCACGTATTGATCACGTGTGATGATCCAACATCTAATCTATTCCTTCATACTTAAAAAGAAAGGACCATTCTAAAATTTACCATTCATGTTACAATAAATATACTATTATAAGAACAGTAAAATTAATTTGATCCTCTTAAAGTATATTTACTCTTTTATACTTAGAAGAGAATCCAAGAAATTACTGTTCATGCTATAATAAACACTGTACCATAACAGTAAACCAAGTCTGCTTCTCTGCACTCGAAGTTGTGGTTCAAGCTACAGTAATTTACTATAGTATAAACATTAAATCAAATATGCTCCTCCATAGTTGAAATTACTATTTATGCTACAGTAATTTACTATATCATAAATAGTAAACCAAATCAAATGTATTAAAACTTAGATCATTCTTTAAGTATAGAGGAGTAGATATGATTTCTAAACTAAATGTATTAAAACTTGGATAATTCTTTAAGTATAAAGGAGTAGATATGATTTCTAATTTTAAGCATACAATAATCAAATCAAATGTATTAAAATTTAGAGGGATACAAATTTAAAATACAGTGCTTAAAAAAATAGGGGGCCGTGCTTTGCACGGGGTGCACACTAGTACGTATGAGTAAATTTAGTGTTCATAGTATAGTATTTTACTGTATTATGAACAATGCCCTTTTAAGTATAGAGCAACATGTATGATTTCTAATTTTAAGCATATAATAATTAAATCAAATGTATTAAACCTTAGAATGAAGCATGTTCAAAATGCAATGCTAAAAAAAAATAAGGGGCTAGCAGGGGCACACTAGTTAACAAATTAGTAAAATGTTTCTTGACTCCTTTAAAGAACAAATTGGATCTGTACTGTTGCTCTTTCATCCCTCATACACAGCCACTAATCTTAGCAATACAAATAGATCTCGGATTTGTGAATGGAAAAATCTCACCAAAAGAGAACCTACTATTGAATGTACTAGGACCACTTTGGCAATTCTCATTATGATTCAGAATTAGAATAAACTTGTTTAGTTCTGGTACTCTCGAGTGTGCTTGGCAACTATTTGAAATAGACTCATGTTCAAATTTGCCTCAATTTTAAGGGGCTGTTTGGTTCGCATTTAAGGCCCGTGGAAAACTTTTTAAACCCCTCAACATCAGATTTTTTCCTTCCACCTCAGATTTTTTTTATTTCTACGCTATTTCTTTCCCAACTTTGTTTCGCTAGGGCTGAAGAGGGAAACGGAGCGGAAAATCGCCGCCACCTAGGTTTTTTTTCTTCGGCCCCAATTCCCTCCCCATCCGAGTGAAATCGACGAAAACTTTGCCACATCGTATTTCTGGCTTCGTCATTGATTTCCTTCTTGAGCTAATAGTTACCTCTCTCTCCTCCCGCCATAAACTCGCTCTCTCTTCTTTGCCCACGTAATCGAAGAAATTGGGGGAGTGAGTTTTGATCTTGCGTCGACAAAGATCAGATCTGATAAATTGGCGGCTTGTTAAAAAAAAAAAAAGTTCCCTTCCTCTAGGTAACAACTCTTTTTAGGTATTCACATGGCGACTTGTCATACACAACCAAGACTTGCAGCTAATTATTAATAAGGGCCGTGCCAACGCTAATCCTTGCTCAATAAATTACACAGAGGCGAGCGATGGGCTGCATTGAATTCGATTGTGGGCATCATCATCACTGCCGACACCAGAAGCCCTCCTTTTTACCAACTGCCGTCACTTTCGAAGAAATCCGCGGGGAGGGAGAACAAGTAGATCTCACATCAAGAATTCAAGCACAACCGAAGTCTTCTGCCAAACGTTTGTGCGTGTTCTGAGGGGAACTTATCCGAGATTCAACCTATATGCACAAAGATCTCCATTGTTTATGAATGTTGAACAAATCAATCAAGGGATAAGTGGGCTTAATTAATTACACAAATTCTGATTTCTTTCAACTTTTCCTCTCTCTCTCTCTCTTGTGAAGTTACAAGAATCCGAACTTATTAGCCCTCACCGTTGGGATTTTTAGATCTCGCAAAGACCCCGAAAACCACTACGGGCAGCAAATAGGAGTCACACGCACGATTTAGTGTGGAAAATACTCGACACGGAAAAACCACAGAATCAAAAACAATCAGCTGATTTAAGTCCGCCCCCAACACATGTCAGAATCCACACATGGACGACAGATCTCTCACATCAAGAATTCCCGCAGATCCAAAAATTCTCTCGGCCAACATTTTGAACTCTTTTGTGATCGTCGATCGGCCAGCTTTGTCACTTCATACGGTCGCCATTGTTCTTAAAATTAGGGACAACGAAACCACTCAATAATTGAGTTTTGTTTGTCGATTATCACATTTAAGGTAATAAACAATAAAAAAACACGCGCATGAACAGATTGACAACGGCACCGGTTGAGCAAAAAAGGAAGATTAATCAAGGAGGAAAAAGATTGGTGGGTCATGATTTAGGTATAACTGTTGTAGTTAAGGAGCTGGCCGTGATGTCATATCAAAGAGGAGTGGGAAACTTTGATTACCTAATTTCATGATTATCTCAAAACGTTGCGCTTGTCGACGAACAACGCGGCTTAAATAATGCAGAATTAAAGCAAAAGTGTGGTTAGAGCATGTGTGGAGAGCGTCTTTTTGCACATGCGAGAATGTGTTACAAAACTCACGACACTGATATATGTCGCGAGTGGTGACACATAATTGTGTCCAAAACATAAAAATATAAATAGTATCATTAGTTAGCATTATAACTTCCCGGAAGGTCACCCATCCAAAGATTACTTGCACTAAGGCACACTTAACTATAGCTTTTTTAGCTTATATACCATGTAACCATCATCATAATAATATCTAAGAATTATTATTTAAGCCTATTAATAGATTCTCTCACAATCTATGTTGGACTATTAACATTTTCCAATTATATTTAATTGCATATGTTATGACACAAATATGCATCGTGATTTGCTAAACTTTTTTATTTATGTCATTATTATTTAATCATTTGCAAATAAAACGACACTTTTATATGTATCATAATATAAGCGTGGACATATTTAACTTTTGTCATAGTGCGAACATAACATTTCGCACCTTGAAGGAGGAAACGAAATATCTAAACCCCCACGTTTACGAGGGTACAAGGGCCCATAAGGGCGTGCATGCCCGTAGAGTGTTTTGTTAGAATATATGCTCATAACTTTAAAATAGGCTAAATAACACTTATATACCCTATAGTTTCACTCTTGTAGCACTTAAATACCCCAAGTTACAAAACATAGCAGAAAAACACCCTGAGTTGGTAAATTTAGCCGAATGGACAATAATGCCTCTCCTTCGGAATTAACCCCTCTACATGATAAAGTAGTAAATATTACAATGAACGAGGGTAAAGAAGCATTCGATTTGATGACATGGTAGCACGTGGGAATATTCCTTAGAATATTCTCACGGCTTAGTTAGCAGAAGGTAGTAACTTGCACAATTTTACCAACTCGGGGTGTTTTCTCGCTACGTTTTCTAACTTGAGGTATTTAAATCCTACAAGGGTGAAACAATAAGGAATATAATTGCCATTTACCCTTTAAAAAATATCGTAAGATGATGGTTTATAGCTTTTGGGCCTTGGATGTGATAGAGACCAGAAAAGTGAAATTTTTTAATAAGGTTGCTAAGCTTTAAATTTTGATAAGAGTTTCAAAGGCACATTCATCAAGTTAAACGCATAATAGATCAAAGTCTGAACGTTTAATGTGATCATGAAGAAATATATTCTCACACAAGACGGTAAGGCTTTAGGTCTCGGAAGCCTCATTTTTCCCTCGAAAAAGAAACTTCTCACTTTAGGAAGGAGTCCAAAATAAAAGGATAAGAGACACCCAAAAGCGGATATAATTTTTCAGCTGAAGCCCAACTAGCCCAAGGCCCAGTATCCGAAAGCTCAGATTTTATTTTCAATCAACGCCTGCGTGACACTACAGGTCCCCAATCATGATCTCCTCATCAAAATCACCGCCAGCATAAAAATGCTATGCTATGAGTGTGATTAGCATAGCACTGATGGTCGTCCGAGAGCAACGGTTTGGCAGAGCCGACGCATCGAAGGCGCACAACTGCAGCAACCCTCGAACCGCAAGCGTCTTTCCTGTGAAGCATTTGGTCTGTCGTTCGATCATCGGAGCATCAACGTTCTGAACCAGCCAGACCTGCTTCTCCAAAAAAAACCCTCTCGTTTCCGAACTTCTATGCTCAAGTTTTGCAGCTACGCTTCTTGCAGAGTGAATTACGGATAACTCCCCTCATTTGTATAACTATTTTATTAGAACTTAACATCTCCACGTTCACATTTTTGAGAAGGATAAACCCCCCACTTATGAATCCAGGGATGCTAAGAAAATGGTAGCATGCGATCAATCTCCGTCCTGCACTCCCTCATCCTGCACTCGAAATCCCTCAACCAAGCGAAGCAACTCCACGCCCAAACCCTCCCTCCTCCTCCCCGCCCCCCCTCCCCTCCCCCTCCTCCACAACTCCCTCATTCGCGCCCTCTCCGCTTCCCACCTCCCCATCCTCTCTCTCCTCACTTACAACTCCCTCATCCGGTCAGACCTCGCCCCCGATGACCGCACCTACCCATTAACCCTCAAAGCATGTGCAGACTCCAAGTCCCTTCACAAGGGCAGAGAGCTGCACTCCTCCGTCACCAAGCTTGGGCTTGACTCCGATACCTTCGTTGGCAATACCCTTCTGAGCTTTTATGGCGCGTGCGGGGAATTGGACGACGCCCGCAAGGTGTTTGATGAGATGCGCCACAGAGATGTCGTGTCGTGGAATTCGATTGTTTCGGTGAATCTGAGCAATGGGCGCTGGTTAGACTGTATGGGTTGGTTTAGAAGGATGGTGAGATCGAGGGTTGAGGTCAATGAGGTGAGCGTCGTCAGCGTTCTGCCTGCTGCCGGGGCGACGGGGAGCGAGGGGTTTGGGATGGGGGTTCATGGGTACGCGACGAAGCTCGGGCTGGCTTCTCAAATTAGGGTTTCGAATGCCATTGTTGATATGTACGGGAAGTGCGGAGAAATGGACGGTGCGGTTAGGGTTTTTTGCGGGATGAAGGAGAGGAATGATGTGTCGTGGAATTCAGTCCTTGGCAATCTTGTTCATGTTGGTATGTTCGAAGATGCGTTGAGAGTGTTTAGGGATATGCTTGTGAACGTTGAGGCGAAACCTAATACCGTTACTATATCGAGCTTGCTGCCTGCGTTGGTCGAGTTGGGGTTGTTTCGCTTGGGGAGAGAAGTTCATGGATATTGTGTGAGGATCGTAATTGATTCCGATGTGTATGTTGCTAACTCTCTGATCGATATGTACGCAAAGGGTGGGTGCATGAACAAGGCTACTGATGTTTTTGACAGAATGAAAATTAAGAATGTGGTATCGTGGAATGCTATGATCGCCAATCTCGCACAGAACGGTGCTCATTTAGAAGCCATCGAACACGTTATCCATATGCAGAACAATGGGGATTGCCCAAATTCTGTGACGTTTACGAATGTTCTTCCTGCTTGCGCTCGAATATCCTCTTTAAACAAGGGGAAAGAGATCCATGCGTTGTCGATTCGTGATGGTTCGTATCTCGACTTGTTTGTTTCGAATGCTCTGATCGATATGTACGCAAAATGCGGAAGATTGCATACCGCACGACGAGTTTTCGAGGTTTCTGATAGAGATCAAGTCTCTTACAACACTTTGATTGTTGGGTATTCTCAGAGTTCGTGTTGCTCAGAAGCGCTTCATCTTTTCCTCGAAATGCAACTCGTGGGTCTCCGACACGACGTTGTTTCCTTCATGGGCGCCCTCTCAGCCTGCGGCAACCTCTCAGCATTCAAGCAGGGCAAGGAGATACACTGCTTGTCAATAAGGAAGTTTCTCGATACCCACATCTTCGTCTCAAACTCGCTCTTGGATTTCTATATAAAGAGCGGGAGAATCGACATTGCAAGGAAAATCTTCGATAGGATCCCTAAAAGAGATGTAGCTTCATGGAACGCGATGATTCTAGGGTACGGGGTGCAGGGTGAATTAGAAATGGCAATAGGTTTGTTCGATATGATGGAGAGCGAGGGCATAGAGCATGACCATGTGTCGTTCATTGCAGTGTTATCAGCCTGTAGCCACGGCGGTCTAGTGGAAAGAGGGAAGAAATATTTCCAAAAGATGCTGGTACGGAATCTAAAGCCGATGCAGATGCATTATGCTTCTATGGTCGATACTCTAGGCCGAGCTGGGCTATTGAGGGAGGCCGAGGAGTTGATAAAGGGGATGCCGTATGAAGCTGATTCTAATGTTTGGGGAGCATTGCTCGGGGCCTGTAGAGTTCATGGGGATATAGAGATGGGTCGGCGAGCAGCTGAGAGGTTGTTTGTACTGAAACCGGAGCATTGCGGGTATTATGTTTTGATGGCAAATATGTATGCAGAGGTTGGGAGATGGGAGGAAGCAGACAAGATCAGAGGGCTGATGAGGTCGAAGAGCGCGAAGAAGAACCCTGGATGCAGCTGGATTGAGACCGGGGACGGGGTGCAGGTGGAAGGAAATGAGGATGAAAGGATGCAGTCCTGTAACTATTTGATGCTCTGAAACAAATGAGTAGGCTGGAGGTGGTGCGTTTCTACATTTGCTTGGTTGGTGCGTTCGCTATGAACTGAATATGTTGATGATCTAGACTGTGGCGTCGATGGATACCATGAGCACTATCTGAGAATTGTCGAGATTGGAAATCGTGATCAGCATCACTACTTTTAACAGAATCATATACTCGTTCACCTCTTCCACACGCAGCGATTTCTTCCCGTTGATATCGATCTTAGTCGATAATGCAACCTCCAGCTTGTTGCTTAACTTAAGGAAGAGGATCAGTGAGCCAGAAAACTAACAGCACAGCAAGACAATGGCCGGTCAGGAGAGCTTGAAGTGGAACTGCTCCAACATCAACCGAGCCGATATCAAGAAAGAAGAGGCCGTTTCATCAAGATGGGGGGCAAACTGTGTCAAGTTGGTGCATGAGTATAATAATATTTGTGTTTGTATCTGATCAAGTGTGGATATGGATATATCTATAGATAAAATTAATGCGGTGTATTTATCGCTTCTTCTCTTTTATAAAGGAGCACCTGCTATCATTATCAAACAACTAGCACAGTAATGAGCACAAAATAGCCAATGTTTCTTATCATCACTAAGTATCAACTTTGCCTACTTGCATATATTATGAAATGAAATAAAAGAACAAAAGCCCCATAAAAACTAATTTAAAAAAAAAGAACATAAAGCCAAATGTAATGGAAAAGAAAGGGTAATGATTAGAAGATTGAGATACCATTTTCGCTAATGATGCCCTCCTTTAAAAAAAATACAAATTAAAATAAAAGAGAAGAACCTGAAAGCCAAGTCCGTGATGGCCTTGCAAGAAAACTATATGCAGCTGGCATACAATATTCCCCTGCTTCCTTCATAAGCACAATATGATTAGTCCTAAAAAGATGTGAACTTGACCACCAAAGAATGTTGAAAGCCGCTCAATGATTGTGCTCTATAATCCAGAAATCAGCTTTAAAATCATCTTCTAAGGGACTGTTTGGTTCACCCAAAATTTGTGAAAAATGGCTGAAAAGGAAAGAAAATAGAAAAAAGTATAATTTGTTGCAAGTTTTTCATAACATTTTCATTTTCTTTGTTTGGTTCACTCATTGAAACCTGGAAAAATAATGATGTGCTAATTCCTATTGGTTGATTGATGTGACCCATATTTTAGGACACTCATTTCATGGTTTTTGTGAGGAAATTGGAGGAAAACTTAATTGATGTTTTCCTCACACCTTCCTTTTTATTTGATTTTGAGGAAAACAACCAAACAGGCCCTAATGCAAAATCATAAAGGCAGAGGAAGTTTATTGCACAATGTTCTTTTTTGTCTTGAGAGATCACATAAGAAAATTTCATACAAACTTTTACCAAAATTAATTACAATGCCTGTAAGAAAATATCACCATAGCTATTATGATTTTATGGAAATCTAAGCAAACGCTGTACGCTTAGACGAGCCGATAACGACAATAAGAAACTTCCACCATCATCCCCATGTAACATATGTGACATATAACGACCATGATAATTGTTCAGGGAAAAAAAAATCAGGAATAAATAATGTTTCACTTTCAAGATGTGTTTCAGCTTGGATTCACTAGATCAGAAGAAAATATGTATGACAACAGACAGAAATTTATTATTACCAAATGCGCTATGTAAATAGACGAGACACCTAAACTACAAAAAAAATATTATATGTGAAGAAAATTTGTAGGTCTACCTATACAACAATGAAGTAGATAAGGGATTAGCAACTCGGTTTACTTGGTTAAAGCTCCAAAAGAATATAACTCCGCGAAAACTGGTGTTTTTATCTTCACTGATGCGCTTGGCTTGCAGTTCATCTCTCTATTGATGTGCTCAGCGTGTGGTATGCTTGATTGTTCACTGCAACCACAGAATCATATCGATTCTAAACGTCACTCCGAAATGTTTAGCTCGAATAACGCTCAAGACTGAGGCCTCCGTTCATTTTTCCAAGAATTCTTTGCAGCTTCAGCGGACGAGCTGCCAGAATCTCCATTATTATTAGCATCCTTTGGTTTTGAAAAGAAAGGATCCCATTCATGAGCCCCAACCTTCTGCCCTTCCTCTAACAAAGCATACTTCCAACTGTTCTCCTCGATAAAATCCTTGTCTTCACGGTCATCAATTATCTCCTTCCTCAGTTTCGTAACTTTATCAATAATTGCCTGCACTGAAACATCAAATGCGTCTTTAAGAGTCTCCAATTTAGACCTCGGATCAGCATATATAAGCCTAGGTATGAGACTTATGACTTCCTCCCTCATCTCCTTGACGACATGATCAGGTATTTGCTTCAATCTTTCCTCAATACTAACACCCTTCTTTCGAATATCATCTTCGGGGATAAACACTGAATACTTTGAGAAATTTTTAGGAAGATGCCAAGTATACTGAGTGTAAGCTGAACCGGGATGAAAGAACACAGGTATACATCCAGCCAACATTGAATCAAATGCCGATCTCCTTGTATAAGAATCCCCTTGAGGTTGCAAGCAGAACAAAGAGCTCTGGAACATTTTCATTATACTGCTCGGAGAATGGCACTTGCTCTCCCCAAAATCACACTCCAAAAGCTTACCAACCTTAGAATTCCTGCATTGATCGATAATTTGCCCTCTTATAGATTTCCGGTTACCAGGGCGAGGAGCCCCAGCAAACGAGAAGAGCCATTTTCTCTCCAATTTCCTCATTCGATCTTGCCATACGAACACATCAGCGTCCTTTGATGGATGGAAATATGTAGGATATGGAATTCCAAAATCATTAGCATTCCAAGGACTAGATTCAACAACCAACATTGACATGTTTTTGGCAGCCGGCAAGAACAAGAGCTTGTTCCCCCAGTCAGACTCAGTATCGGATAGCCTTCTAAAATCCCAAGTAATCCTCCCCGCAACCAAGAAATGATCTCTCCCGCCCATAACTTTCCACTCGGGTCTCTTCATAAGCCAATCCACCAGATCAAGAGAAGCCGCATCCCTCACCGAGATGTTATACCCCCAAAGATACCGAGCTACATCAAACCCCGCATAGAATGGAACAAAGACCGCCGCAGCAATAGACGAGTCCTTGGTCAAGCACTCGCACTGCTTCATCCGATTGCTAAAGATCACATCGACAGCAAATTGATTGGTTGCATACCAACCGGTGTTAGAGAACACCCCCTCGACATTCTCAAGGGGAGGACCGAGACCCGCATTGGTCGTAAATTTGCACATGTTGGTCCAAAGGCTAAGCTTTCTGCATTCTGTGAGCATATCTTCATTGAATCTTGGCGGCAAATCATGAACATAAATGTAACGGCCACCACAAGGATCAGTCTTATTCTCAGCAGTCTTAAGGGCTCTCAAAAAGGGGAAATCCTTCTTGGGTTCTCTTTGGGCATTCCTCTTCAAAATGGATCGGGGCGGGACGATCGATCTAACCGGGTTAACGGGTCTGCTTTGTTTCGAGAAATGTTGGGATTCAGAGGGAATTGAAGGGGAAGGCAATGAGGGCTTCAGGGTTTCAGGGGAATTTCCACTGAGAACAGCGAAATGGAAGTAAAAGATCAGGAACCAGAAAAGGGCAAGCACAGAAGCGAGGAGGCAAAGGCGAGATCGAGGGGGTTTTCCATTGGATTTCTCCATTCGCCTTCTCATCTAATTCTAAACCGAAAATTGGGGAAGAGAATAACAAAGGCGCCAACTTTTTATTACATTCTCATCAAAGATCATGGAATCCCCAACTGGGCACCAATATCTAGTATTAAAATTGATAAAAATCACAAACTGAGCATCAAAGAAACCCCCAGATGGCTATGATCAGAATCAGTGGTGTTGGAGCAAATGAACAGCTCTAAAAACCGAAATTTTCAGTATAAATCAAAATAATTTAGCAACTTATCAGGAAAAAAAAACCTAATTTCGACGAGATACGAGGACTTACAGAGAGAATCGAGCGGCGTTTATTTAAGTAAAAATTAAAAGTTGAGGCTGAATTTAGAAGGAAGAGTGAAAAATAGGAGGAAACGAGATTGAGACTTTTCTTTGTATTTATATGGAAAAGGTTAACAGGCAAGCGCATGTTAATTAGCAGTATATGACCAAGCCTAGTAGGACCCACGCCCAGATGATTCTGGCCTAGTAGGACCCACGCCTAGATGATTCTGTGCAAGATTATTATTATAAAAAATGCGTAGGAACATCAAAACTGGGGATCATGAGTGGGGCAAGTGAGGTGTTGCATCTATGTATTGTGATGCATTGTTCATATGTTTATGAACAGTGCATCACGAAACAGAGGGGCCACAACTCATATGTCCTATGCAGGATCTTCTATTTTGGGGTCCCTGTAGTAGCACTCTATTATTATATATCACTTTAATACGCATTCATTGAATTTTGGGTAAATTACGCTTCAACACCCCCTAAGAGCATCTCCAACCCAAAACCCCAAAATGGTGTAATTTTTACACCAAGTTGATGTAGTTTTTACACCAAATCACTATTCTATCTCCAACCATTATACCAAATTTTACATTAAAAAAATATTTCTTCTATTTACAAACTATAAAATGAGATATGGTTGGAATATTTGTTTTGTTATAATAAACTATAAGGGAAAACTTGAGAAAAAAAAACCAAAATCTCCATATCTATAGTGTTGCGTCATTCCTGACACAACATTATACCACTCCTTTAAAATGACGCTAAGTTTAACGTTGGGTTGGAGGAAGAATTGGCGCTGAATTTGCGTCAAAATAGATTTTTGGAGTTAGGTTGGAGATACTCTAAGGCTCGCCAATACTGCACTAAAACACCCTCACTTTTAAACCCGCGAACATAAATGTGACGTTAATAAAATCTGTTAACCTACATTAACGCCCCCCAATGAGCTTTGCTACAGTGACCCAAAATATAGGATCAATAAGTGGGACAAGTGAGGTGTCTCCCTCCTATTGGATAATAAGTTGGTCATCATTAACGATGGCCAACTCATTATCCAATAGGAGGGAGACACCTTACTTGTCCCCCCTATTGATCTCATATTTTGGGTCCTTGAGGAATCCCCCATCCCAATTAAATTCACCTACCCTTGTAATGGTGGTAGGAGTTGTAAATCTGATAAAGTTTAGAGGTAACGGAGACCCTCATATGGTACCACGTGGCATTCAACAGAGAATATTCGCCGAATATTCCAACGGCAGCTAACGGAGGAGGGTGTTAACGTGACATGATTAGCCGGCAACACAGAGATATATGATTAGCTCCCTGTTTAATGGTAAACTATACATGATAATTGTGGGATTATTACAACATATTGATGGAGACCGGGTGCGCGTTCAAAGTGGTTAAACTATTTATTGAATTATTAGCTATCATTTGTTAATGATCTACGTTAAGTGATCTATTTAAGTAGTGGGCGGCCAGATCCACAATTATTGAATAAAAACTTGTTTTCATTATGATGGATGGATCCCTGTTATGCTCTGCATTTAGGACTTCAATGTCGTCACAAAGTTCAATTATCAGGGTATTTACTTCGTGTACAATTTATAGTAAAAATTTGGATAAAATTTCAAAATAGACCCTATTAGAATTTTATTTTTAAAAATCGACCCCTTTGACATTTAATTGCCATTTTTTACTTGGTTTCAGCGACCTGGATAAAACCAAGTCGAAAATGTTAATTAAAGTTTGAAAACTTCACGGGATTTAAAACCCCGTGAAGTTTAGTCGATAAATTATTTAGCCTAATCACGAAATAGAACAAGCCATCTGAAACTACAACCAAACTTCACGGGATTTGAAATCCCGTGAAGTTGCAGGGGGCATCTACCAAAGAGCTCGTATTGAGCTCTCTGTAAAAATGAGCCCGCAACTTCACGAGATTTGAAATCTCGTGAAGCTTGGGTGTATTTCTTCTGCAGCTTCATTAACGTGGTTAAGTAGACACTGAACTTCACGAGATTTTAAATCTCATGAATTTTCAAACTTTATTTGTTATTTTCGACTTGGTTTCAGCCACCTTCGACCCAGTTTTAGCCAGGTGGCTAAAACTGGGTCCTGACTGAAACTGTGTCGAGAAATGGCAGTTAAATCTCAAAGGGGTCATTTTTTAAAATAAATTACTAATAAGGTCTATTTTAAAAATTTATCCTAAAAATTTAGACAATATATAGTAGGAAAAACATATACATGGATGTGTCTCCATTCTCCCGGCACGAAGTTTTCTGGGAACAAATAATTCATATCAAAAGTTATGATGAGTATGGTCTACAAATTTATATACTGGATTCATGACTTCACATTTAAGTAGGGTCCTGAAGAGATGTAAGTATGCTTAATACAACAAGAAGGTTTGGTCCTTTTGTTCATTGCCATGTGAATTAGGATCCATAATAAATATATTCAATCATTTAGGAAGTACATATTTTGCTAGAGCTTCTTTATACTTCATATTAGGATTTTGTCAATTTGAGTCGTTGAGACGATGACGATGGTAATGATTGCGTAATATGATGATGGCTCACGTGAGAAAGCTTGGAATCTTATTCTCGCTAGACACTTCGTCTAATTAGAAAAATGTCTTAAGGACCCTAACATAGGGTACCTGTACGAGACATGTGAGGTGTCGCCTCCCTATCCTGTGATGCACTGTTCATGAACAATACATCACGGGACAGGAAGACGACACCTCACATGTCTGATGCACTGTTCATGAACAATACATCACGGGACAGGAAGACGACACCTCACATGTCCCCCCTATTATGGGTCTATATAGCAACACTCTTCTAATTAATGCCTCCTCATCTCCTCATTCATTTCTTGAGAATCTAGTGCTATTTGCACCTCATAAAAAGCTATATTTACTCCTACCATTTAATTTGTGAGCAGAAGTTTGATGTTTATGATTTACTCAATGCTTAGTATTAGCATATCGCATCAATATTAATGAACTATTTTCAATCACAGCGAAGTATAGGAAATATAATGAGATAATATAACCATTTTCATTACATTTTCAGGTTGTACATGTCAACCAAAGGCATGACACTACATTTTACAGATCTAAAAGGAGCTTTACACCACAAGAACAACAAAATTGGTGTAAACCTCATGACTAGTGAGCATGCCTTGTGATTCTCAATAATTACAAAACAAATTATAGTACTGATTATTTTTTTTTTAACATCTGTTTGTATGCAAAATGACTTTGAGGCAACACTGTACTACTCACTGGCGCAAGCTAAGGCTTTCCAAGGTAAGATTAGATGTGGTCCCAAAGTTCCGATGCTTACCGTCAGCTTTGTTAGCGAGTCTAAAGCCCTGAAGGGGCAGCTGGTTGATCAGAAGTGTCTCGAGGTTGGCCTGCGACGCCTCTTTCCTGGCACTAGAATGTACAAGAACAATGCACTTCTTTCATGCCTTCCTTGGAGCGATGAGCACGAATCCTACCACTTAGATCATCCGTCTGCAATAAAACTTAACTTTCAGAGACCCATAAAAAACTCGGGCTAGCTGCGGATAGACCCCCTGCACTATCGCTAAATTGTGACTTACTACCCCTATAATTCTATTACTGCAGACAGACCCCCTGCATGAGAATTCTGACCCATCTATTACTGCAGGAGGTCTACCGGCAATTATCCCTCATACCAAAATAAGAGCTAAGATAATGCAGAAGTTACCTGCCCAACATACAATTTCTTATCAGGTCTGAAGAGAATATAAATGCTTGAAGCGCCCACTGTTGACGGAGGAGGTTGTTCCCTGACACCGATAGGAACACACGTTACCTCCACAAGTTCCAACGTGTTCTTCTTTTTGTAAAGCTCTATTAGCTTCTTCTGACAAATAATGGTAACGGCCCTCTCAACTTCCTTCTGGAATAACTGCATGCTCCCAAAAGTTGATCCTCCAATAGTCCGCAAAGAATAGTCTTCATCGAACACCTTCAGATCAGATTTCGAATCTAAATCTTTGGACCCGATTGCCTTCATGTTCATTGAAAGGTACAGCTCCTCAGCCCTCCTGATGATTCTCTCAGGAATACCTTCACCTAGGGCAGTTTCAAAGGCAAGACTCTCTCTACATACTCCATCAGTTAACTTCCACGTTGGTCTTATTTTTCCATCAATAACCTCTGTTAGCATTGCTTTGTGCACAGTGTTTTTTGTGGCTAACGGCAAATCGAAAATGCCATGTAAATGGGTTGAAACAATACCCATGCAGCCAATTTGATCAAGAGTTTCAACAATGCTTCCAGCAATGCAAGTTCCTTTTGCGGTTTCAGTGCCCCTACAGATTTCGTCCACGAGAACTAGGCTCTTTGAAGTAGCTCCACTGACTAGTGAGCGTATCTCGGACATTTCAATCTAAAGAAAATGCTTCTGGATTAGATAGATGTAAGAGAACATTTCATGCATCAACCATATCAGAATTAGCAGATATCGGATATCCTACAGAAGCAGCAATATTTGTTATGTGGCATGAGAAATGATGGATGGTCCAACTTATGGCATAAACATATAACTTTTCCAGTATGAGATTTTATTTTTCAGATTTTCTAAATATTTACCCTGTGTATCCAGTACAGGCATAATGCATATGTTATTCATCTGCAATCTATTACTAGCTGACATTAAAGACCTATTTTCCCCTTCCCACCCTGCAAGCTGTAAAACATTATATAAAGATGGATTCAGAGTATCTCTTGTCCTTATCTTATTAACACAAGAAGCATCTCTATCCCACAGAACATAAAGCAAAAATGCTTCAAGTTCCCTTTCTAGTTGTTTTCTTATGCTTGTGCACACTCCAAAGAGGTTTGTTCCTAACACCTAAGTCATCTTCAAATTGAAATTTGGCTGATGCTTATAGTGAAGAAGCCACTCATCAAATTGTTGAAAGCAAATAATTCAGAACCAATTCTTCAAGAATTTATACATTGATACAAGATTTGAATTTTCGTATTACCATTTGAAGCATGACTAAATTGATTTGGTATGTATCATCTAACTTGACTACCTGTAATGGAACATACATTACGGGAACATCACCCTACGCAATGTATAAAGAAAATGTTGGCAGCTTAATTGTTCATAATGTAAAGAAGAGCCTGCGGGTGACAATCCTGAAACTAAGAATACATAACAGACTTAGGAATAAAATAAGAAGAAGATGAATAACTCAGCACCTGAAATGAGCTCTTCCCATCAGCAGGACTATCATAAGCTTTCATGTGCAGCATAATAGAATCAAAATCAGGAATAGTAGCTGACTCAGCAGGTACCATGAGTCCACAGATCCCAAGTAATGCAGCAGCACATATCGACCGAAGTAAACTAGATTTACCTCCACCATTTGGTCCAGTCAAAAGAAACGTTGATTCCATTCTGACAGTATTTTGAACTGCACCACCTTGTGCAACATCAAACCAATAAGGTGATAGACCTGTTAACTCGAGTGTCTCAGCCATTTGAGCTGAGCTTTCATTCTGCAATTTCACAAAACTTTAGACTGTTTTGAACTTAAAAAAAACCTAATAACATTGAGACAGGTAAACTTATTTATATAACAACTCTATTACGAATTGAAAGTTATGCATATAATTTTTGGTTTGGATCAACTTATTGTAGATCACAGATCTAAGCATGTTGCAAGTTTCAGCTGGTCAATATGTGGCTACTTGATGCATAAGCAAGAAAACATAAAATCCCCTACTCTCCCTCATTGTATCTTCGAGGATTCCTTGTACATTCAAAAGGATTCAGAGCACAATTCTTCCAACAAAAGAAACAATCAGTGGAATACACAAATCAAAATTACTTGTTCCACAATACTACAACACAATAAGCTCTTACAAATAAATTTTGATATCCAGATATGTCAAATAGTAATTTAATTGCTAACAGATGGTATATAAATGCCTATAGGTTGATGTAATCTAGGTTAAAACATTTTTAAACAAATGCATGTAGGTAATGATTGGTTACATTTTAAATAGAGGGTTCAATACTAATTTTGTCTATTGGATCACTTCAAGGTTTACCCATATGCGTTGATGCTTTGTCGACTCAAAGGGCATCAATGTAAATAGTGGAAAGGCATGTCCGTGGCACATAAATAGAAAAGAAGTTTTTAAGATGTTTTGTAAAAAGTACACAGATTGTGCAGTCATCGCTTGGAATATAATGTCAAAAAGTAAAAATCAGTTCAGTTGCTGAGTAAACGATACTATCTCAGTATTATTTAAAAAGCTTTGCTTCTTCCGAACATATTCATTCACCTCTAGTATCACATACTTCTTCTACACTTTTGTTGTAATTTATCAAGCTACAGAGTTTTAAAACAATACCTTGCACTTAGGGATCTTGTATAGTTCAGGAAAAACCCATTCTCTCCTTCGACCTTCACTGGAAAAAAAGGATTATCCATGAGACGAGTCATGCTAAGAAATTTTAAGGAACCTGTATCCACAATTTCTGGCATATTACTTACAACTTTTCTGTTTTCAGGCGGCAAAATAAGGATTAAGAAAATAGAAAACATGCCCTTTTTGTTGTAGTTTACTCATCAAGTAATTTGAACTAATAAAACAATGAACCCATACACACACGCAAAGATATACACACTGATGCACAAATACATATGCCCCCAAAATATTTTGAAAGGAGAATTACACAGAAACAATGAATATATGATAGTTGAAACTAATTTGCAACAATTTACCTAACATGACCGAAAAGTGATTTAGCTATGACAAGCAGCATGGAAGAGAACACGAGGACATTTATTTTTACTTGCATTTCTGCAGAAAGCCCTCTTAATAATTCCAGCACTTTAACCTTTGCCATTTCATTGGCTTCATGATACCTAAAATCAGAGTAAACCAATAAAAATCATCAAATCCCATTTAACAACAAATAATAAAAAGAAACCAGGAAGATGGAGGTCAAGTTTAAAGTGACAAGGTCCAACAATGTAATTGCACCTGGTTAATGCATTATCAACATTGTTTGTGGCAAACCATTCCTCTCCAACCTTTCGCCCTTTCGCATCTATGGCAGGCCTAAGTTGCTTGATTTGTTCTTCCCCAGGGGTATTGGCCCATACAGATGGCATAAAACGTTTCCCCTTAAACCAAACAGCTTCGTGCTCTCTAGCATAACATACTTCACCCTTAGGACCTCCAAGAGTAGACATGATTGATTTCACTCTTGACACAATTGGGATGAAATCTTCCATAACCTATAGCAAAAGACAGGTATATTAATAAAAAGTGAATAAAGCAAGAACTACAAAGAATCAATTGAATGTCATAAAAAAATTGTAAACAAAGATGAGAGCAGCTAACAAGTATGATCATTCCAAGGAGTAGGAGATACTTTCACAAATCAACATCGGACTTGTACGAATAAGAGGAAAGAAAAACATGCGAGATTGAATACCCTAGTGCCTTTGATATGCCATCCCATTATCATCTAAGACATTTTTCAATACTTTTTTATTTCAATATTTTCTCACCATTTATAGTATAGCTTCAACCACTTTTTTTGAACCAGCTAATGGTATCATGTGAAAGGGTGTACACCATATTACCTCATACCATATTTACATATGCACATCCTAGATAATCCTAGAGAATTATGGACTTAAGTGTTACCATTGATGTAATCTGAAAATGCTGGACTTCAAGGTGGTATTCTTGTAAGCATAGTCAATTGGCTATAAGGATTTTCAAATTAAACAGCTTGACATAGTATTCTGTAAGATTATAAGCAGTCATTATAATGATGAAGGAAAAAAGATGGTGCACAAGGACCATCAAATAGAAGCAGAAATCCAAATTTGTAGTGAGGGACTTAGGTAAGCCGTCAACCAACAATGCAACAGCAGCTTCCACTTACTGATACCAAACCGTATAACATATTCTACACTGCTAACTAGAATTTTAAGTACCTTATGGTTACATGACTATTCATTTATGTACCCTATAAATTTTCTTGACATATTTATACTTTATTGCTTCTTAAACTAGCACATTACTACCTTCCATTTGTTAAATGTTGGAATATTACCGTTAAACTGAGATTCACCTAAAATTTTCCATGTGACTTGCACATGATAAAACTTAGCTCATTATATCCCTAAAATTGGTTGAATTAACAACTTTGTGGCAGACTAAGTGGGAGAAAATAGGATTGAAGATAGTTGTTTAAGTCACAAGAACTACCAACTTTAGGGGTATAAATGAAACATAAAAGAAGAACTGCAAGTTCAATTGGAAATCTTCCTGTAAAACCTACTGCAATAGATAAGGATTGGGCAGCTCGCTCAACTTCTGCAAAAACATCCTCTGCATGGATCCTCTTCACACGACCTCTCCATGAAGATTCCATATCCTCGAAAAACTCACGGGGAATATATTCTGGGGAACTTATTTCCTGATCTGTTTCACCACCAAGAGATATTATCTCACCTATTCTTTGAGAGATCCACCCACACTCCGTTACCTACAGATAAAATCACGAATAAGTTTCTAATAGAAGGTTAAACTACAATATTAGCCGATTAAACCATTGAAGCACCATACAGGGAAAAAAGTGCAGTCTTGAATTGCGATAACAAAAAATGTATACTAAGTCAAAGCATGTACATGTCGTCTAGTGACAAGCTGACCCAGTAAATCTTTGAAGAAATAAAACTGACAGTACTGTAAAAGAGAAATAATGTAGAGATCTATCACCAAGCCCAGTTGACTGAAGTGTCACATGTTTCTAGGAATTAAGGTGTAAAAGAGAGATTAGATCATTAGCTGTGGACTGACCAAGGAAACGCAGAAATTTAAGATCCAATATATTCATTAATGTAGAATTCTATCATCACGTTCAGTTAACTCAAGTGTCACACAGTACTTTTCCATACTTTATCTAGCCTGCAAGTATTTCTATAAACAATTTATTTACATCCAGAAAAGTTAAAGATATATTATGTGAAAGTCTAGATTAAAATTATCATCCAAGCAGTAGATGTGGAGGAAGGTGCACTCTGGAATTAGATCTTGCAGTATGTGAAACAGTATAACGATAATAATCATGCAAAAATAAATGGAACTAAAGTTATTTGATTGAATCTTCAGAGCATTTGATTTATAACAAGATTAAATCAGATATTAAGATACAACAACATACCAGCATCTCATATTCAACTTTCAGCCCAGTGGACACCCAAGTTGGTTCCAATAGTATATGTAGAATAGCTGATAGTTCAGAATTTCTATGCATCTGCAGAATTTCATCGGCAACATTTTTTATTCTGCAGAACTCAATATGATTAGCCTCCCTAGATTCCAGCAATCGGACAAGCTGCAAGATTGAGCAAACTCCAGTTTGTGACAACCAAGGCAGTACTAGTATAAGACTATAAGTGTCTAATAAACACCGACAATGATAAGAAAATATAACCAGAGGTTCAGTGACAAAAACAAAAAAAAAAAACTACAAATATAAAAAGATGCTATAAAAGATGGTGTTCTAGTGATTAATAGTTTAATACTTAATGGCGAGCCCTTTATAAATTATACTAACAAAAAACATTACTATGAAAGGTCACATTGTACTATATGCAGGACTCTTCAACATATACACACATAATGATTTATGTTTAGCCACGGTTTATAAAGAAATTTATTGATCCGGTATAAATAGCAAGATGTGATGGAAGCAGGCCTAACTCAAGATATAAAATCTAATTTCATTCTTAAGAATAGAACCTTGGCAGCTGATACACAAGTAAACTCAGGGATGGAACAAGTCAAAGTGCTCATACTCCTGCATGCCCCTGACAGAAAAAGGTTCAAGTTAACTAAAATACTTGGAAAAGAAAAAGAAAAGAAACCAGACTATGACATAAGCAGTAATGATCTGAATCAGAAACAAACTGTATACAAATAATGAAGTACTTTAACCATTAAATTCACCAAATCTCAACATTATTTTTAATCTTGAGAGTTTTCATTGGCCCAAATAATGACATAAATTGAATTGCCAGTAGAAACTGGCATTTTCTCGCCCAAATAAAGAATAAGAAATAATGGAGATGAAAGCATCCTCAAAGTGTGAAGTAAAGAGAAGAAATACTTGAAAAAGATTTAGAGAAGAAGACAGAAGAGTAAAAGAGAGGACATCAAGAGAAAAATGGATACACATGGTTTCTTCTTTCTCCAAATACTTAATCAACAATAGTAAGTAATTGCTTTGACCAGAGGTATTAAAGTGTACTTACGCTGGATTGCAGAAGCAACCGCATATGATGGAGGATTAAGAAGAAGATCCCTTAAATACCTGAGAAATAGGAACCAGCCTCGTACGTAACAAAAAACAAATGCAATACATTAATGGACTAGAAGATTGAGAATTTAGAATAAGATTGAAAATAAAATGTCATTTAATTAGGGATGAGAGCCCAAACCTAAGTACACAGATATGGCAGTATGTTACATAAAGCAATACACATAAATTGACAGAAACATGAAGACACTATGAACTTTTATAAATCATGTTGTGAACCCAGCAGAGATCAGGTCGCTGTCCATGTTGAATGTCGTGTTCTGAACTTAGCATTTATAACATGATTTGCAACGAGAAAAACATGAGGTGCAATTTGCATGACGAAAAATCACATAATACAGCTGTGAAGAAGAAAACCTTTTTGCAAACACAAGACACATGTGGTAAGATGGTGCAGGAAAGTTGACAACTGAACAGAGTAATATCAATATACATCCCCCCAAGAAAGTAATCTTGAGCAGAAGACTATCCAAGGAAAAAAAAAGTTAACAGTTACTGAATATCAAACATCAGTGACAACAGACAACCTAACGTCATTTGAATTAGATACCATTTAAAAAAGTATTCTGGGATCTTTTATCACACGAGGCTAAATATGTATGCTACAAATACGACGAACAAGAGTATCCAATCATTATCAAGCAAAGATTTCATATAGGATCCAAAAGATTCTCAAATGACTTGAAGTTGCTGACAATTTAACAAAAAACTAGAAAAAACAATTTGAGCATTCCCATCATCAAGAATAAACTTAAAATTCAATTCTATATTATGTTGCAACAGCGTCGTCAATATACTGTGAAACAAAGATGTAGTATCAACAACGTTAAGAAATAATGGGGTCATAAACCTTAAGCTAGATACAATTTATATGAATTATGAACTAGCATTATTTATCCAAAGGTAAATAAAGATGCATGGGATGTTAAACGCACAATGCTGGAAGACCGGTGCAGTTTGAAGGAAGCAACACTTTCAACAAGCTAGGTATTCCCTCTGTCGGTATCACTCCTAGAAGAAAATGTTCAAATAAATCAGGTAGTTCTATAGTATTGCTGCTGGTGCAGATATAATAAGTAAGAGTCTTCTCTAACCAATTTGAGTAGCAGTCCCCAGGTACAAAGGCTGAGGTCTTCTCTCCGAAGAAATACTGACATTTCGAAAAGCGGCTTCTTCATTCAGACCATAAATTTCTCTTACCTAAGTAAAACCAAATATGTCAACAATCAGATGTTTAACTTTTAGCTACATGATATAGAAAAAAGAAATGGCGCCATATTTAGAACTTTTTGTCAAATGATAATGCCACTACACCAAAAATTTCAAGTTGTGGTGAGAATTGAGGGTTATAATTTTATACTATAATGTATGCCCGCAAGTTGAGCACCCTTTTAAGGGCCAAAATCAAGACTCACCCGGTGATATCAACTTTTTAAAATTCAGTTTAAATTTATGACTAGTGGGATTTGAACCTAGGTAGCACTGATATCATGTCAAAGACCCAACCACTGCATCAAAACTCTGTGGGAGGGTTGAGGATTATGACAATGATGTCAATTAACACAGGTATTTGTAAAGCAGAAACAAAACAACGAGACTTTCCAACGTTTCCATTTATTTAGGGCAAGCACCCATTGTTTGTTTGTCTAATGAAAGTGAAGAGGCGTATCATGAAAATTGGAACAATCAGATAACGATCAGGAATAATCCAAACCTCCCTCCTCTCACATGCAAACGCACAAAGGCATCAAGCACACACATAGGTAGGTAAATAGTGCTTGGTATGTTCCTTTGTATTATATAGACATAAGAAAGAGTACAGAAGAAACAATTAGCACGAATGTAATTACCCACCAAGGGAAATATGCCATTATATATATGCTCTGTGAACGACTGTCTTACTTGAAGATAACAAACAAAACTTGATTGTCAGGGTTGTAATAATAGATATTTAAGAATGACATTTATCCACAACAGCCAAACTCGTGACATAATGGAGATAAGCAGAAGAAAAAAAGAGAGGCAAATGATAAGAGAATCAACATCCATCATCATCATCTGGAATGCCGCTTTATGAGCACGAGGAGAAGTTAAGAAAGCTCAAAATAATTGACCAAGTGTCAAAAGAGAGTGTTAACCTGTTCAACCATCTATTATCCGGTGCCAATTGCTCATGGAGGCAATACAATATCATGTACCTTGACAATAAGTTGGCAGTAAGAACTAAATAACCTAACTTTCCTTGTAGTGCAGTTTAAGCTCATGGGACAAAGAAGAAAAACTCCCAAATCCTGTTAGAACAAGAAAGAGTCTAGATTGAGAGGCAGGTGAATAAGACTGCTCACATGGAATCACTCCAATTAATGAGGTCACACATACAAGAAGAGCCAAGTATTGCAACATAATAGAACAAAGGGCATGACACAGTTTTTATCCTTTCAAAATAAATAAACAAAAGAAAAGAACTGCTCCTAGATGACTCCAAGCATCAGCATAATAGCCATGCTGTAGCTGCAGCTGTTTTCAGATAGCAAAAAAAAAAAAGCAAAAAGAAAACTACAAAAGTATAAAGTCACAAAACTAGGGGGAAAAGTGGCATGTATTGACTATTGAACTATACTGCGTCATAGTATGGTTTATTTCAGATGTTTTAGTTACTAACATATTGCATGCCCCGCCATAATTTCCTATGAAATTGTTTAGCTCGCAAGGGAAATTAAGATGTACTGATGTAGTGATTTTATGCACATTCATGAAACATGTATCTAGCAAGTAATGAAAGTGAATGTAGAGTTCCTTAACAGTCATATTACAAGTTGTGCAGACTATATAGTTTCACGACCATGAACAGGTCCCTACTGCCCAGTATGCCAGATAGAATATTCCTAGAGAACAGGAAAACACACAATATTTATAGCAGTATCCATCATCCAAAAACTACAATGGAAGATTTTAGTTTGATAAACAGAATGTTGCAACTGAAATCAGTAACAGACAAAGTCTGACCACAATAAGTTTATGACATCAAGCTCCAAACCTTGAACAAGAGCTCTTCAATAGGAATGCCATCAAACCATTCAAAAGTTTTCCCATTGCATTCGCTCCACAAAAGGCCCCCTTCCCCAAATTCCCCCCAGCGAGAAGTACCTAGAACGCAAATTCTGTATGCATTAAACATTCATAAAGCTATAGCAATATCCAGATACATTAAATTATGCATAATTATGTAAAAAAAAGCCTCATGATGCACATGTTTTGCACCTGAAGAATTATGTCGCAAGGAAGTATGCAGAAATAAATGGTGATATCGGCATGTCCGGAGCTTAGTTACAATAGCCTCTTCAGTTAGACCATCTTCCAGTGCATACGTTTTCATGGTCTCAATGACTGAGATCATGCAATACCCTTTAACAGATCTTGAGATACCTATAAAGCAGCTCACTCATGTTGAAACATGAACTGAAGATAAAGGAACTTTTTCAAGTACAAACATCAGCAGATGAAGGTGGACTGGAAATACCAACAACAGGCATTGGCTCCGGAAAATCAACATCATGATCAGCTCCAGCAAGCCCAAACACATAAGGGCTACCAGGATGTGCGTGGCTGGAAGGATCACATAAGTTTGAGTGAGAAGGAAATACATACGAGAATATGGACAAGCAAAAGATCATAAATAAACAAACAAATATAAATTCAATAAGTTGTACTTCTAAATGTGGTACCTAGATCAATGTGAACAATTATCAATGACAGGGATACAAACAAACATGAAAAAAAAAGTACAATAAGACTGATTAACATCTGACCCTACCAAAAGAATCATGCATAAACTAAATAATAATAAAAGTAGAGAATATAAGTTGAAAGATGTAAATATAAAATAAATAATTTCTAATATCACCGTAAAGCCAGAGGAAGCGGGTTCCTTTAAGCATAATTTTGTTTTAGGATGGTAGCAAAATAGCAAAAAAATGAAATTAAATTTGTACTACTTTTTTTGCAAAATGTGAATGAGAAAAAATATAGAGGTATCCCAGATAAATAATACTTTGCCAGAGTGCAGCATTAATGACGATGACTTGGCATTATTGTTAGACAACTAACAGGGCATAGATTGGTAACTAAGGAAGTCTTCCATATGAAGCAAGTTTAATTGTCTGAATCACTGGATAGCCCAGAATAACCAACTGCTCAACTGTCTGAACCAATTTTTGAAGCAAATTGGCTGCTTTCCAATTACCTAAGAGCTTATAACTCGTAAGGATCTATCATATGAGGATTTCACAGTTCACTGCCATTGGATGACGGGAGATATTTTGGGGTACTCTCCCCAAATAGGTGGCATAGAACACCAAAACAACATGACAACATTATGCGCTCCTGCTTGTTGTGACTTGGGAGCATGGACATTTGAACCATAGGGAAAGTAAAATTGCTTTTCCAGAAAATTAGTCTACGGCTGTCTATTCAATTTCTCACTCCAAAAGTGGTTGGCACTTGGCAGTTTTCACAAGTGAACTTACTGGTTGCATCATGGCATAGAGGCAACCTTATACTACCTTTCATCATTTCTATATTTTCTAAAAAATTAGGTATATTACTGCAACCTTTAAATACTTGCAGAGGACAAAGATCCAGACAAAAGTACTTACTACTTTTTGTATCGGAACCAAAGAAAATGAGAAAAAAGGGTCTTATTACTAGCTGCAAAGTCAATTGAATAGATCAGTTGCTCTTACTGAAGCTAGGTAACTTTGAACCAATTTATTAATAATACCAGGTTAACAGTGCAATCAAAATAAGATTGTTGAAGCACACCATCTTCATTTTAGCAAAATTTCTGTTCTAATAAAAAAAATTTAAAAAAAGGAACAACAACACTCACGGTGCAAATGACATTTAATATTTTATGTACAACAGTATAAGACAAGATTAGGCTTATTTCTTGTTCACAAGTATAGAAAAATGATACAAATTTTGAACAGAATTTGCCCAAATAAGCAACAAGACACGCACATTCTTCAGTTTGTACTCTATTTGTTTCCTTCATTGGTTATCTAAGAAACAAGAACCTATACCTAGAAGTTATATTTTTTACCATCTGGAGCATCAAATATTTTAATACTCGGCAAAACAAAAAGATATATGTAATACAAAACAAATTAATCAGCATGAATAGCCAAAAGCCAATTACCCAGATATAAATCGACCTTTACGGGAGCGAGCTTGAGTTGGACCTTGAACCTCCTCAACAATGCACTGCAGGAAGAAGTCGGTATTGCAAGTCACATATTCAGCAACAGGTTTGACACAAAACACTGAAAAGATCCTACAGAAATTTAGAGAATTAATATAAAGTGCCTGGTTACAAATTTTCTTCTGCCTTCTACAAAAGTAAGGTCTGTCCATGGGTTTATCATGTAGCAATGGCATAAACTAAAACATGAACACATTGCACCAAATACAATTATCTCATCTTTATAAGCTACATGCCTATCCATATGGGCTTGAAAGAACCCTAAATAAACTCCCCAGCACCAGGGGGCATTTTAACAACTTGAACTTCTTCAAGCAAGCATGTTGAGTATTCTTGTTGTATATTTCTGATCCAGAATTGTCAGCTTAAATTTTTGTTAACATGATTACTGGAGATTACAACTCTAAATTTTCAGTAGATAGTTGGTTCAAAACCTGATCCTTGAAAACATATTTATATTTAATCCAAAATTGCTTTGTCTTCCCAAGCAAGTCTTATTTTCTGGCCTAAGGACCAAATGAGGGGGTTGTTAGGTAGCTTGATATACATTGTTGGCCCAAGACTTATCAGCTCAATATTTTCTGTGAACCAGTTGTCCAATGTAGAAAGGTAAATATTAAAACTAAATGTGATAACATAAAATTTATTAATCAAGAAAAAATTCAGCAAATATTAAATAATTTAAAGATAATAACATATAAATTTTGAACCACTACTGACACCAGATATAAAATGTGAAGTATGTGGTACTGTATTGCATTCATGAATGTATCATAGATGCCATATCATGCAACTTAGTTCCACAGCACAATACATATCATTTAAACAAAAAAGGGCAACTGATCGTGTAACACAAGATACTAACAAGGATTAGTAAGTCCTCCTTAAAAGTACTTACTATCAGAACTGTTGAATCATGAATGTGATGTTCAAAAGGAAATGCATTATGCCAACAGCAATTAGTCTTGCTTGAAGGATACACCAAAAAGAGAAGAAAACAAATAAAATGAAAATTCTTATAACAACTTACAACAGAATAGCCACTACGAGTCAAATCATCCAAAGTTTGGCGCAGATTCTGCAAAACAAAATTATCAAACACGTGATGGTAAAGAGCAGCTAGCTGAATCCTTGGCATGACAGTAAACTGGGATATACTCTAACTTGCAGGTTGCAGCTCTATTCAAAAATTTTACAAATTACAAATCTTACATATAACATGGTTCATGGCTTTTCAAAGAACCTTTCCCTTTCTTATGACCAAAATGTTTAGTAAGCATGGACTTAAAAGGAACTCAAAAGTTTACCATTAACATGTAAGTACATACCACAACAGGGCATCCAGCCCTTGGAATACTATCTGACCTCAGACCACCAAAGGGATTTAATCCAGCATGCTCAACAAGAATGCAGGCATCAAATCCAATTGCTTCATAAAAATCACCAACCTATATGAAAAAAGAAATATTACAATTACTATTAAACACAATATTAAAGTAAACTAAAGTCTTAACCTCAACATGGACCACTTATAACTTGTAAGGAAATGAATAGTGAAAGGTCGTGGAACCTGAATTACGTAAACTACCAATTTTGCACGCAATTCCCAGATTTTACGTCCTATTATACTTGTATACAATTGGAGACATACACATAGTTTTTTCCAACTACTTATCCAGAAATTTGCTTGAGTTTTCATAAAAAGATCCCATTTCCTCATATTTTAACAGACTTAAACAGCTACTGAGATATTAGCTGCTGGGGCATGCACATGCACAGGTGATACACAATGAAAATCAGAAGTAAAAGGACATGCCAAAGAAGCAGATGATCAAGCATAGAACATGAATGAGGTGCTAAATCCATCCCGACCTAAATTACTTCTCATGAGAATTTACATACTGGAAACAATGTTAGAATGAAAATAAAGCATTTCTAAAATTATTATTTTTGCACTTAGAAATGAAAGTCAAGCATTAAAACTTGTTGCTCTGCAGGGATTCTTCTACCAGGCGGCGGAAACAATGCTTGCATGACAGAATATAACAACGGAAAAGCATGCTTGTACGCCTCGGAAATTCTTTCCTCCCTCTCAAATATTTCCTTGCAGACACCCTTTCACATTTTCCCCATACAAGTGCAATGGCAAAAATGAGAGTTTACCCATAATTCGTGTTTGTGAAGCACCAAAATGAAAAGCAAGAATGTGGATGATCTTTGAAAAAAACTGACATCTTAGCACAACCAAACAATTTCATCATAACAGAAAAGAAATTAAAGACAGAATATCACAGATTCACAAATGACTTCATATATAGAAACTTTCTGATTCATGACATACCCTACAGAGCAAAACTTCTCGGGGAAATTTTGACTTAAATTGTAATATCTCCGAGTTAAGAGTTCCTTCTTTCAAACTGCATTGGAAAACACCACATGAAAAAAAATTATAATCAGACAAATAAGCATAAATACTTACGATCAAAGGTAAATCTGCTTTTTTAGCTTCTTGGTGGCTTCATAATAGAAGATAAGTTGCAAAACTATTAGGCTTGTGTTATGTTGTTATGTCTATGATCTATTTAATACAGGTAATTTGGAACAAAGTCTGTTTATTTTAAGCAAGTATATGGTTAATGCTGATATGCTTGATTCTATTGTTTTCTTTATAGAGTTTTGGCCAGGCGAATTTACTTCTTGGTAAGAAGTTTCTAACAAATTCACACACGTGCCACACATAAATGTAACGAATCATCTAAGGATTCTGATGATGTTCCCCTTCTTTAACATCTGGGTATCAGCGCTTATCTTTAGTTGCACGTCTTTCACTGGACTTTTTGTTTTCTGATAACCCAGCCCAGAATCAAGCCCAAGACCATGAGAGCCATAATGGAACCTCCCAACAATCTGGGTCACCTGCGGTGGGTTACTGAACAATTGATAGTTGATCCTAGTCAATCCAAAGCCTTTTGCCGCCTAGTTCCTTGTTTAGACATATCTGTTAGTCCGTCGGAACTATTTAGGTAAAGGAGAAAAAGGAAAAATACAACATAGCATAGACAAAGAACGACCACAGTATTACTAGATAAACAACAAAGTCCCTATTAGGTGGAGAATTAATCTCTAAACTGAACAGAAAAAACAGTAAGTATGCCAATAACCTATGTAACTTAAAAACCTTATAATGATAGAAAAAATATTATTATAATAAAAAAAATCAGTTTACCTCCCATTTTTTAAACTGACATCCAGCCCCAACAAATTTGAATAGTTGAGCCTCGTAACCAGCTGAACAGTCGAAGGCTTCTTGCACATTTCCATCCTCTACAAAATCAAACTTTTTTCATCAAAACCCCATAAAAGTTCCCCATCAAACAATTATTAAAAAATGAATTTTTTTTTAAAAAAAAAAGTGTTTCACCTCTTTCCACCACATTATATGAGGATGATTAACCCCTTCATTAAGAAGTTTCGGTTTCTCTCTTCTACCTGATTTAACCCCGTTAATCACTTTAAGAGATTTACAGTGATATCTCCTCCCTAAAACCCTTCAATCCCACAACCAAAGATAAGAAATTGATGATTCAGGGGCTAATGTGATCAAATCCCGAAAAAAGAGACGCCTAGGGTCAGGGTTTACCGTGGTAAAGGTGAGATTTTGGATCGACGGGCGGAAGAAGGGCGGAGGAATCCGGCGAGCATCAGCCAGCGAGGAGACGAGGCCATGAGAGAGCTCGCCGTGAATCTGTGCATTTGGATCGGAGGTTAGGGTTAGGGTTTTCTGTTTGGTTGATTTGATTGGGGAGTTAGGGTTTTTTTGGGGGGGACTGCATCGTCGTTTCCCGCCAGAAACAGTGGGGGTGGATTTTATGTGATGGGAGTTGGGAAGACGAGCTCGGGAACTGTGACAGAAACGGGTCCCACTTGTCTTTATGCGGGTCCCACTTGTCAGAAACGGGTCGCGAGGCCAGCCTCCGTACACACTATTTACCGGGACGGTCCGATTGTGTCACGTAGAGAGGAAATTATTAAATTGATAATAATCTTTTCCTTTTTTCTAACAAAAAAAATATTTTCTTCCTTTACAGAGGAAATCATTTCATTTCATTAACTATAGGAAAAATTGCTTCAAGGCCCAAAACTCAATTTCCATTGCGCTGCAGCTCCCCTTACTTTCCCTAATGTGCTGCAGCTCCTCCTTTTTTAAAAAATTACGTCCAGGCCCCTCCAGTCCAAAACCCCGATTTTGCCCTCCCTTCACCTCCCTCCTCCTCCTCCTTTGCCGGTCCCCCTTTGCCCCTTCCCCCGCGCCGCCTCCCTCCCCCGCTCCGCCTCCCTCCCCTGCCCCAAAATTACGTCCAGGCCCCTCCAGTCCAAAACCCCGATTTTGCCCTCCCTTCACCTCCCTCCTCCTCCTCCTTTGCCGGTCCCCCTTTGCCCCTTCCCCCGCGCCGCCTCCCTCCCCCGCTCCGCCTCCCTCCCCTGCCCCCAC